AGCAAAATGACACAGAACTGGCTTTTTAGGGGCATGGTTGGACATTGTTGGTGCTGTCTTCTCAAAGGAATTTGTGTCCTTTTTCAGCACAAATATGAGATCTTCATCAGCACTCAGTTTACTCTTCCTTAGGAACAGCCGGAGTTATATTTGTTTGCACTTCGTCCCTTTGAACACTTGCCGAGGAGGCCAAAGGGGAATGGAGAGGAGGGGAAAGAGGAAGCAGGTGGGAATGGAGCTGTGTTAGCAACAGTTTGGGGGTGTTTGAAATCGTTAAACAGCAAACAAGCTTCCGTAAGTCATGTTTTGCTATTGAACTTTAACTTTTTTTTTTCTCTACTTCTTAGGTCTTTAATAAAATTTTGGTTTGTAAGACTGTGCTCACAGTGGCAGTTTAGTACTGGCAAGCCAAGTGGGAGAGGCAGACCTGATAAACCTGTGCAGGAATTGCTGTAAAATATTCCAGGGAAAAATCCTTGCCATTGGCCAGGAGGTTTGGATGATGATTGTGTGGAGAGTGGAGAGTTTTTGAAACAGCACAAGCATGTGGGACATGTGATAGCATTTCAAGAAAAATATATAAAAAAAAGATATAAACAGGGAAAAACTGTTTTAAAACCAGGTATGGTCTTAAAACTGGAGGAACTATCTCCCTCTTCCTGCATGTGACTTAATGCCCGTTACCTCCAATGCCCCCAGTAAATCATATAAAATCAGTTTGCTAAGCTACGCTGCTGAGTCATTTTAGAGTAACTTCCAGCTGCTGCTGCAGCCCTTTCCTGCTTCCCGGGCTGGCTGGCATGGACCTCCTGAGGTCCAGTGGGGCGAAGAGCAGGCAAATACATCCTCATATTGTCCCTGCCTGCTGCTGGCACAGCCCGGACTGCTTCACGTTGGGGATTGGTTGTTTGATAAAATTCCATCTTTTAAATCTGACCCTCCTATGGACCTGTAAAAGCAGCTATTAAGGTGTTGCTTAATGAAGTATGGAAGTACTACTCTACTAAGCATTTCTCTTAAGCTTGTTTCTCTGTGTAGCAGACAGCCTCTTTGCAGCATTTCAGCCAAGAGGATGTGTTTTTAAACTCAACCTTCATTGCTGTTGCTACTTGTGGCACAACAGTAGAGCTCTAGTATTTTTCTTGATCTCTAATTTGGATTGTGTTGCCCTTGCTAATATTAATTAGCATTCTTCTGCCGGAGTAATCTCACTTGGAACAGACTTGACACCTTTACTGATGTACCTGGCTCCTTGTTTATCATGAATCTCTCCCCCACGACGGTTTGGAATCGAAGCATGTTGCTTTTTTGTTTGGTTTTTTTTTGTTTGTGTTTTTCTTCCCTTTCATGGTTTTTGCCAATCATAAAATGCAACAGAAGATGAGTAACAGTGCTTGGATTGTCACATTGCATGCTTGGAAGCATGAAAGTTGGAAGCAGTTTTATAGTTTAAAAGAATAAAATTTACTAAACAAAGAAATGCTTGCAGAGTGACCCTTCCTCCTCTTGAAAACTTAGTGATTGTGCAGCTGTTGTCTCCTGTCTTTTCCTAATGCATATTCATAGATTTTCACAAGGAAAAAACCATGTTTGGGAAATCATGATTATAAGTTAATTAAAAAATAGTTTTCATTTTAGAAAATTAAATGTGTTGGCAGTGGCATACTCATTGCTAATGGGTGATTGTACTTTTTCAATAATAATAAGGGATTCAATGAAACTCTAGAGGATGTTAGAATATGATTAACTAGATAATATATGTATTTGAGTTTTTATTCCCAAATAAGCCGGATCTCCCACAGCCAGAAGTGTGAGTTTATATTTGATAATTATATGAGACTCTTGAGCTTTCTTGCAAATTGTAATTCAATTCCATAAGAAAAGAACTTTAACATGAGAAGAAAGAATGAGTGCCTCTAATTACAGGAAGGCATTGTGACCAGCTTGGTCAGCTTGTTCGGTCCCTCGTCAGACACAGAGCCCGGCAGATTATGCACCCTACAGTGCTGGAGCAGCAAGTAAGAGGACAGAACCCAGTAGTCCCAAATTATACCTTCCTTAAATACTGGTTTAGTTCTGTGGAAAAAATGGTTTCTGAAAGTGTTTATCAAGATGTCACCTGCGGTTTTCATTTACTAGAGGATATTTTATGGTGAGGTACATCAGGGATGGCTGGGATTTATTGGACAATCTATGGCAGAACAAGCAGCTGACCAAAAGAAGGGACCTGTATCACAGAGGCAGAAAACTGGTGTCTTGTTTCTCCAAACTGATGTTAGAAAAGGTTATGTATGGATATGTTTGTCCAGCTCTTTAGTCGTGTGTTCTTACGTCCATGTTACTGAAAACAACATAGCTAACTTTGGAAGATGGTGCTGAAATTCACAATCCTGTCTGCTTCCACCTCTGTGTAGTGCCAGGTCCAAGGGCTGTAAAGCTAACAGGATAGATACAGAAAAGTTGCTATTGCAGAGAATCTGTCAGTCAAAACCACCTGATTTTTGCCCACTGAAGATGCTTTTTTTCATGTGTAAGTGTCATTGAGTTAAATATTAATCAGGATAAGAATCCAGGTGAAAAGCGTCAAGTAAAAGCACATTTGACTAAATTAAGAGAGCCAGAAGATGCCTTATGAATCTACCTAAGGTAGTTACTATAATTGCTGAGAATCTTCAAGGGTCCTCTGGGTCCTAAGCAAAGCACCTTATGACTGCAGAGGGTAACGCAGTTTAAAGAAGAAAAAAGGGGAAATAAACATGCCCCGTAAAGATTAAAACAAATAAAGCAGTCTATTCTTTCACTTAAAAGTGATCTGAGTTGGAGCTAGAGAAATAACTGTATTAGTATCCTTTTAGACTCCATGGGATTTAAATTCAGATTATGCCAAATTAGGTCAGTCTCATACATGAGAAGATGGGGACTTCAAAGATAAGGCTGTGGCAATTGTTCTAAATACTATAAATTGCAAACCCATCGTTTAGTCAAAACAGCCAATTTCTGGACATCTGTGTGTACAATTAGGCCTGTGGCAATTAACTGAAAGGTAGAACTCTCCCATATTTATGCTAAGTTTACCAAAACGTGTGGATGGGAGCTTGGCAAAGCTTCTAAGTAAGTTTAGAGCAAGCAGTGTGCTGCCCTTAATTAACAGCTGTGTGAGTCCTTGCAGCGGGTGCTTGTAGTTCAGAGAAGATGCAGGGCCTCGAGCAAGAAAGCACTGCAGCATCTCACAGGGTTGGTAGAGGAAGGGTATGCAGAGCCTGGGGAAGGATATGCTTGCTGGAAGCACCCCAAGAAATGGTGGCCCACTTCCACCTCCAGTTAAATCTGTGCACAGCACAGCACACTTGTCTAACAGCCATGCCACAAAGGCATTGGGAAGTTTCTGGCTGGAGTTTCTAGCCCGATGGGTTGTGGCATTTTGTACTTTCTGATGACCGAATTTCCCAACTTTGTACCAGCTGAATGCTTTGACGGAAGACACCTTCCTTCTCAGTGTCGGGGATGTTTGTGCAGCTAAGTCGTGTGCTGTCTTGGCAAAGAGGTTTGCTGCCAGCCCTGGTTGTCTTGGTGGGCTGGGGGCTGTGGGAGGGGGTGAGGACAGACTGGGGAGGACCATGGCCAAAGGGGAGAGGGTCCATGAGGTGTTTCAGGAAGGGACCTGGTGCAGCTGGTAGTATGGGACCAGGGGATGTGTTGGCTACACACAGTCCAGGAGGAGTGGTTAACTTTGTGCCTGCTCAAGGAATGTTCCTGTAAAGGAAATTATATAAATATATTGATTCACTGGGACAGAGCAAACTATGTTCTTTAGAGGAGAAGGAAACTTCCCCTTTGAAATAGGGGAATATGCAAAAGCAATAGAGTAATATCAGGAATGGGTGGTGATATGGACTAGAAATCAATGCATACAACGTGGTGCTGTCATTAGAGACAGATGCTATACTGGGAGATAAAAATGGAAATGCTAAGCTAGGCTCAGGAAAGAAATTATTTATCTCTTTGCAGTTCTGTACAGGACAAGTTAAGTACTGTCTGTCATCCGATGGAAAAATAACTGAAAGACGTCTCCTGTCATGAAACAAACTGTAGTAGAATGGGGAAAAGTTAAAAGAAAAGGATTTCTCAAAAGTTCTCTCACAGGACATCTTTGGTCAAACATCAAAGGATCTGGAAATATCTCAAAGGTCCAACATGAGTAGTACTGAAGTTACTGTATTCATCTATACACAGATGCATATTTTGTATTTCTGTGTGTTTTATGTTTAATATTTATAAATGTGTATGCAAAATGTATATAAGAGATGTAGTAGATATCTCCAGAGTTAACAGTGATGAAATAGAAACTATCTGTTGTGTATCAACTATGCAGTAAATGTATACTTATAAGGATACCTATATGTATACATAAGTGTATATATACACATATATGTGCATATATATAAGAATTACATTTATTTACCCAGTTTGGTTTCATCATTTTTTGAGACCAAGTATGTGGACTCTCGTTGCTTCCTCCCAGTGGAACATGTAGTGCTGTACATTACAAGCCTGTCCACAGCCTTGTACCTGTGAGAAGTAGTTGCTAATGTGGCTGTTATATCAGAAGAGATTTTCAAGACAAAGATAAAGAGGAATTCTGTGGACATCTCTGAATCTGTGAAAAATTTTTGTTAAATTCAAAGAACAAGTGAAGTCATCTTTTTCAGCCTTAGTGTAAAGAAAAGCTAGAAATTACTTAATCTGAATGCAAATGAGCAGTCTGTCTCCAGGCCTTAAGACTCCTAAATGAAAAAAGAATATTGGTTTTTTCACCACTTTCAGCCTCTAATATTCAAGCATAATGTAGGTGCCTGTTCACTAGCAAATCCGTGAAGTTGCGTTTGACTAAAAGCAGCAGCTGAGTATGAAACAAGTGATGAGTTCAAGCTTTGTTGCTAACTTCAGTTTAAAATGTTCACAGCAACTTGGCTAATTGTATTAATTTATTTCTTCTTAAGGCAGAATGGGGAAACAGAATAGCAAGCTGGCCCCTGAGGTGATGGAAGATCTGGTGAAGAGCACGGAGTTCAATGAACATGAGCTAAAACAGTGGTACAAAGGATTTCTAAAGGACTGTCCAAGTGGTAGACTGAACCTTGAGGAGTTTCAGCAGCTCTACGTAAAAGTAAGTTATTAAGTTCCTATTATTTGGCCGTAGAAAAGGTTGCAAAGTAATGTAAAGCAAACATATGGTCAAGAGCTGCCAGTCATTTAGACTAAGGAATGGTCTAGGAGAAGCAATGGTGAAGATGAGGAGATAAATGGGAAGTGCTACCCTCATCACACCAGTGATTCATATAGCTACAGTGACCTAAACGAAAAGTTTTTAAAAAAAGCATGATTTACTCACAATAAATGTATTCTCTGCACTCTCTAATTCATGGGCCTCTTTCTCCTTCAAAGAGTGGTTGTGGTCCTGTTCAATAAACGGTGCTTTACCCGTGTAATACCACTGGAATATATAAACCGTGTGATTGCTGGACCTACTCATGTGAAAGACTGTCCTTCTTTTGGTTTCAGAAAAAGTGGTGAAGTTTCATGGCAGTATGTCCTGCAGATAAATTACGCACTGTGCACAAAGGATTTCTTTCTCTAAATTTTAAGTATTGCCTTTATTTTTTTCCCTACTGTCTCTTTGCCCTTGTTATATAGGAAAGGAAAACCAGACTGCTCGATTTATTTTCTTCTTTTTTTTTTATTATTTTATCAAGTTCAAGGTAGTCTTTTCCTTACATTTATTATGTATTTATTCTGTAATAAGAAGAGCACGGGGGCAGCATAAGAAGTGTATTCATGTTACAAAGATAATTATATTTTAATTCAGAATTGAGTGTCTGCCTAAAGGTCAGAGACTTCAAAGTAATTTTAATTAGGAAAAATATTGGATGGTGATGATGAACAGTAGGATCAGAACAGTTCATAAATACAATGTGAGGCTGAATAAAAATAAAAAAGCCTTTCAAATGTAAGTAGTTAATATTGAGTACACTGACAATTTCTGCAGACAAGTGCGACTATCTGTCTTTTCCCTTAAATGCATGCTACAGTCCTTTCCTAAATTTCTTCAGCCTTGAAACAGATCACTGCAAATTATTACCTAGCCCCTTCTAATGAAGGGTCTAACAAAAACTGCTAACTCCAGCTTACATAAATAAGGTTCTGCCTTCATATTTTAATATTTATGGCTCAAGATGTTGCCTCACAATCCTTTCCTTAAGAAATGACTGACTTTGTAATAACTGTTATTTTCAGATGAAAGAATTTTTACTGCCTCGGGTATTGTGCTTGTTATTAACTGATAATTTATAGCTTCCGTTTTAAACAGTGCTCTGTGCACATCCAGCAAGATCAGACATCTAATCATTTCTCATACATGTTTTTGAGGAAAGTAAATGGTCTTTACAAAATATGGGTGCCTAATAAAGTATGTTAACTGTTTAACTCTTTAGAAATCATTATTTTCTTTTTGGCAAATCACAGTAAAGGGATTAAATTTTGTGTGTGTGTGTGATTTTGTATGTTGTGGGGAAAGATATCTTCTGAAAATAGCTCGAAACTGTTAGGACTTGTCTCTTCAAAGAGGTGTTTGAAGTGTTCACAGATAATTCACAAGATACTTTACTCATGAAGGAATATCAGAGAATAAGTTCAATATCTTGTTTACAAAAAAGGTAGTGCAAAAAATAACACAAAGAGCACAGCAGTATTTTGCTCTTGAAATTTGGAGACAGCTCTATAGTCTTACTAAGCTGCAATATCTGGCTTTTAGTTTTATGGCCTCATATATTTTTAGATATGCACATCAGGTAAGATTGTCTCCCTTGCTTTGGTAGTTATGGGTTTTGAGATCTGCTCTGTAATGGTACTGTCATATATTTAGTCTGGTTTATTGTCATTCTATATATAATGCCTATATACAGAGCAAAATACTAATTTTGCAGAGGAGAAATATGATTAGCTGTAGTAAATCCAGAGCTTTACTTCTTCTTCTGTCACAGAAGTGCTTGTAAAATAATGGCCCTGGGCTCTCCGAGAAGCTAATAGTCTGAGTGTTGGCCGTGGTGGCGACTTCTCCTATGTAGGACGTTCTGCCTGCCCTGGCTGCTGGCTGCAGACAAAACCCCAGATGCAAAATTTGATCTTTCCAGGAGGAGCCACCAGCAGGAGACCCAAATCGTTATGATTACATTTACAGCATTTCAGTTCTTTTAATGCATATTCAGGGTGAAAATGTATGAAGCGTGTATTGATTAGTAATTCCTCTGTGTGAACTTACAGTTGGGAGGGATGACATTTATCTGTTGGTCTGAACTGGATTTTCTTGAAGATTTCCATAAATCAATATATTTGGAAGAAAAATACAAGACTTACCTTCAGTTCAGATTTACATTTTCTTAAGATGACACTGTTTCTTTGTTCGTGAGAGTTGTGTGGTGCACTTTCATGTGTATTGATAAAAGGGTGTTGGTCATCTAAGATGCAAAGAAAGCTCTTCTTTGCTTTTACTCACACACAGTAGAAGATCTCAGCTTAAGGAGCAAAAACATTTTAGATTGTATCAGGAACAATATTTTGAGGTGAATTTCCTGGTTATCTCCACTTACTTCCATCATAATTACAGGGTGGTGTGCACAATCTTGGGGCACAGAAACTGGGGTTTTTTTGGATGAAACGTAACTAGAAGATGTGTCCTGAAATCACACCTAATTTGTTACTGTACCTAATGCCTGCTAATAAGCTAGATTTGGTCTGAAGTAAAAGGTCCAGAACATGTGTGATGTGGATGTCAGGTCCTCAACACTAACTCTTCCGCTCTACGTATTTGCATCAATTGTACTGTGCTGTTTACTGATGTAGGTGAAGACTGTAATGACTAAAGGGGGAATTACTCTAGCTTGGCTTGGAAGCCTTTGCTACTGAGGGTTCCATTATGAATACAAACCATGCAGTGCTTAAAAGAAATAGCAGTTATGCAAACAGACTCTACATAAAAAATTATTTGCAGCACTTTTAGTGGAAGTGTCCATAAAAATATTTAGTCAAGAACACCTATTTTAAATAAACAGCTAATAGGAAGAATAATACTTTATGGTATTGCATATTTAGCATTGTCTGCAATCTAACAGGTTATTTAAAAATATTGGTACATTTTGGGTGGATAGATTCTTCTTGGGATCCAGAATCTGTGGCCCGCTGCTAGGGCTCATATTTCCCTCCATGCTGCTGAATGAGGTGAATGCTTCAGCAGCTTTTGAAATAGTTTATTGAAGAATTGTTTATATACTATAAGCCCAGAGCCACAAAGAGACCTAAATGCTGAAACACCAAGTTAGCTGTCCTGACAGTCTGCACAGAGCATGGGAAGGGGAGAAATTTGTGGATACCAATCTGAGGAAGCTGAAACTCAAGCCAGCATGTTGTAAGCAAATGTGCCAGGGCAAAACCACAAGGTAATGCTCAGGACAGAGATTTATATTAAATTCTACATTTCTCCAGGGTATATGAATCTGCTTTCATATGGGAGTTGCATCTTTCAAACCTCTCCTGCAGAGAACTATCTAGGACATTAGAAGTCAAAGCAAAATCAAGTGACTGGAGTCCCTTTTCTTTCTTTCTTAAGTAACGAAGATAATGTGAATGCTTGTCTTTACCACAGTGGTTTAAGTACTCATCAAGCTGTAGGAAACTCTGAATCAATTATCATGTCCCTGTAAAGGGTTTGAATCTTCACTGCTCACCTTCTCATTGCTCTACCTGTGATGAGATACACCCTTCTGGGCTGGTGGCAATATCCCAATTAACCTCTTTTCCTGCAGGAAATAATGATAAGTAGCATCAGACAGGCTGGAACCTACAGTTTCCATCTTCAAAGAGAATATCCTAACCATTAAGCTTAATCCTTGCTCAGTTTCTTCATTTTCCTTTTTTCTATCCTAAAAAGTCCTTAATTCTTCTATCTTAATAAAAAATCATTAGCATTGTGGGCAGAGAGCTGAAGGAATTAACATACCAAAGTGTCATTAAAATAAAATATACCAATAAAACATTCTGGACTGTTCCTATCATTCTTTAGGTTTCTTGCAGTCTAGAGGGCCAAATACATTTTCCTTCGGATCTTCTGAATTCACTGGGTTTAGATGAATATGCCCTAGAGTGTGTAAGTGTGCATAATCAGTGCTAATGTTCACAGGAATTATGCATGTTTATTAAGTGGAAAATAGGCTTCTATATTGTGATACTTCTTGGAAGTGGGTCACTGAACATGAGAAGCATATCCTCTGGACTAATAACAGAAACAAGCACCAATGGTCCTTTAACTGGAAGGGTAGGGTTGGGAGTGATCATGATATAATGCTAGCATTAAATAAAGTAATTTACTTGGTGAATTTATTGCATATCTATTATTTAGCTATGTTTGGGGGTTTTATAGATAACGTTTAAATGAAAAAAATGTAGTAATGCTATTTGATTAATTGCAATCAAATGATTTGTCATATTTTTGGCTTTTAGCTCACATTTCCTGCCTTGAAGGGAACTGATTTCTAGTCCTTCTTTTTAATATGTGTACAACAAAAGAATCTCAAAAAATCTATTGAAATTTAAGTGGGTATATTTGCAGACTCTTTTTCTCTATCCAGATTTTCAAGACAGACTAGAATCTTTCTAAAGATGGCACAGAGCTCCTCAAAATGTTAGGTTAGAGCTGCGTTTCAGGCTTTCAGTGGCTGTGAAGTGGGATTCCAGAACAGCACAGCTGTGTTTACAGATGCCCCTAACATAGATGCAGTTGCACTGGCAGAAACTGATTTTTCTGGGATCATCTCTTTTAACTGGAAGAGTTGTGCGGGATTTATGAGTGTGGTTCAGCCACTTAAGTTCTCCCTATAATAGCAGTGCTTTTTAAGTATTTTATACCAATGTTAGGTATATTATACCTAGTATAATTAATATATTTAGGTGTATTATACCAATCCTGTATTGCTAAAGAACTATAGCATGTTTTGAAATCATGCAGATTATCAAAAATACTGATGTATCTACTCATACAATGAGTTTAGCCCATGCTGTTGCTACCTTCCACAAGATCACCTTTGGGGAGCTAGCAGTCTTCCTGGACAATATGAC